GTGGTAGTGAAGATAAAGATGATGATAATGGTGCTGGTCATGGTCGTGGTGGTGATGATGGTGGTGGTGGTGATGATGGCGATGATGATGATGGTGATGGTGATGCCGCCCGATGATGATGATGATGATGATGGAGATGATGATGATGATGATGATGATGGTGATGGTGAGTGATGATGATGATGATGATGGTGATGATGATGATGATGATGATGGTGATGATGATGATGATGATGATGATGATGATGATGATGATGATGTATGCATTTCAGGATGCTGGCAAACATCGAGGCGCGACTTGAGGAGCACCTCTCAGCCATCGAGCGGATGCCCCAGGAGGAGGTGAGCCTGCCTCAGGCTTTCTCCAGCTAAGCCCCAGCACAGGTGGAGAAGGCAGAGAAGGAACGAGAGAAGGAGCGACGAGCTCGCGTGCGAACTGAGAAGATGGCGGCGCAGAAGAAGCAGCAGGAGGTAACGGGGAGAAGAAGCGAGGAAGGGAAAGGATGGGAGTCAAGGGGAGGGAGGGAGGGAGGGATGGAGGAAGTGATGGGGCGGGAGGGGGATGAGGGGGAGCGGGAGAGTTACGAATCTCCGCAGGATCGTATCAACAAGTCGATTGAGCGATCGAAAGCTCCCGTGCAGAAGAAGACAGGCAAACCTGTGATGTTCCGGTACCCTGCCCTCTTCTTGTTTCTTTTTCTCCCTCCTCTCGTCTCATTGTGCCATAGCGCACCTCCGCCAGTAACGAGGAAGCGAGAGAAAGACATCAAGGAGGAGCGCAACTCAGATGAGGAGGTCAGTCCTTCTCTACTCCACTCGCTTCCTCTCAACCACCTGCTCCCATTTTCTTCCTCTGCCTCTTCCTCTTCCTCTGCCTCTTCCTCTGCCTCTTCCTCTGCCTCTGCCTCTTCCTCTTCCTCTGCATCTTCCTCTTCCTCTTCCTCTGCCTCTTCCTCTTCCTCTGCCTCTTCCTCTGCCTCTGCCTCTGCCTCTGCCTCTTCCTCTTCCTCTTCCTCTGCCTCTTCCTCTTCCTCTACTTCTCAGGTCCGCTTCTTTTCTCATTCGAGTCTGCAGGATCTCAAGGAGTTTCTTACCGAGTGAGAGAGGCAAGAGGCTTCTCCGTGATTTAGATTGTTTTTCTCTCTTCTCACTCCCATGTAAGTCAAGACTTAACTGATACCTCCCTAAGTATTCCTATTCACTCTAACCCTCATCCTGCCCACTGCTGTCCGGGCCCGGCAGGGCATCACTGAGGCCCGGGGCTGTCACGGTTCCGGGCCGCACCGGTGACCCTCCGATCGCGTGACCGTCGGCCCCGGACACCGGCAGTCCGTTGCTCATACAGCCCACCAATTTGACTAAAAACCTAGAGCACTATTTCCGGAGAATGGCAGGAAGGGTATAGATATAGAGGGATAGGAAGGGAAGGAGAGCGACTGGTAGGTAGAGAGGGAGGGACCGAGGGAGAGGTTGTTGTGCTCGGGAACGATGAATACGCCGAAAGACGGCACCGGGCTACCCACAGGAAGGCCAGAGCAACAAACAGGAAGGCCAGAGCAGGGAGGAGGGTGTGGTCGTGGTCTCGCATGGATAATGCCTGGTGTTATCGTTTGCATGCTCCTCGTGGCTGGACGTGACTCAACAGACTCGGTCCTCCTGACTCGTCGAGACTTCAGAGGAGATCCGACAATGCCCGCGCGCATGGACGGCTCATGGCAGGTGACACCAGCGAGGGGATTCCTGGGGAGAAGCAGGGGCGAGCCCTTGAGGCCCGTGGCCATGGAGGGGAAGGACCTGTGGCAGGCAGCAGAGCATGGCATCCGCAGGCTTGAGGAGATTTCAAAGCAGAGAGCCTGGGGGAGACGTGACAGGCCATCGCAACATTTCCAACGGAATGAGGATATGAACTCAGCATACGCCGAGGATAACCTATCCAGTCAGCAGGCACAGCAGGCACAGCAGGCACAGCAGGCACAGCAGGCACAGCAGGCACAGCAGTCACAGCAGCATATGCGGTTGGCAGAGCACGGAGGGTTAGATGGTTCAACAGAAACAATGGGAGAGGGTTCAGATCTTGGAAGAATCAGAAACTCTGTGCAGGGCATAAAGGATGAGCTGAGAAACGTCGAAGCAGAGGTGAGATGAAACGAGTCGCCAGGTGAGGTGACGGTGAGACAGGTGAAAAGTTTGATAGCTCTTGACTCGCCGCGTGCGAAAAAAATCGATTCGGTGAAGGAAAAGCCAATGGTTGAGGAGGACAGGAACGGAGAAAACGACAAGATGAACAATATTAACAAGATCAAGTCTGTCATCGACGTTCTTCAGAAGCAAGTAGAGCAGTTAAGCAGCAGCAGCAGCAGCAGCAGCAGCAAGAGGCAACTCGAGATGTCTTCCTCTGCTCAACCAGATGCTTCAGCTTTCGCATCGCCAGCCGCTGCTGCCCCTCCGAGGTCAGCTTGAGCGTCTGTTCCCTCGTGTGGGTTGTTAGTTGATGGCTGAGGGGCAGGTGGGCGATTCTCCCGTCCTCGTCTGATCGGACCTTTCCTGAGACGGGCGATGGCCTCGCGAGTCACTTTTACACCGGTGATGCTCCTCCTCCTCCTCTCGCTGCTCACCACTTGCTGTCAGACTCCTCCCCTCGCGACGCCTACAGGCGGCAGCTGCAGCATCTCGTCTCCTCCACTCCACAAGGAGGCAGCGAAGCTGCTGCGACTCGCCAGCAGCTCGCGCAGTTGGGAGGAGACTCGTTCGTCAAATTCTTTCACCCGGAGCAGAAAGAGACGGGGAGGGTGAGAGTAGTTGAGAGCAAGGGGGCGCATTCTGACGGCTGTCTAGACATACTATCACTATCACATCCCTGACTTCAAGGCCATGGTTTCACGTTCTCCCATGCTCGCAGACTGTGCTCACGACATGCGCAGGAGGAGAGGCGGAAGCAGACACGCCCTCCTTTTGTTCTACCCAAGCTACAGGTCGCCGCTGCCTCTACTTGTCATGTGCCTGACGCTCGCTCAGTGGAAGGAGGCTCCTCCTGTGCTCTCCCGCTCGCAACAGCTCCGCATGGTTCCCCTGTTGTAGTTCTTGTGTTTTGGCGTGTAATGTCTGGGGCAGGAGCAGCGGCAGGCGCTGGCAGCTGTGAAGGAGGCGATGCCGATGGTTGTAGATGCAGGAGGAGTTGTGCAAAAGCTAAACGAGGAGAAGGAGACGGGAGATTCCGTGCTGCTAGGATCATAGGGAGATTTATTGATTGAGATTACAATGTCAGACTTATCAATTGGAACACAGACTTCATCCACTCACTCCTGCAGCCTTCTTCATCACCAACATGAAATGCGAGATGACCTGAAGCACGTCAAGACTCCCGCCGCTTCCTTCACCTCCTCCTCCTCTTCTCACCCCGTTTACCAGCACAGGGTATATGATAATATCCACCATGAGCTCTTGGGCATCCCGTGTGCAGGCCCACAGCGTCAAGTTCTGCGTCCTACAGGCAAAGTCATCCTGTTGGCACTTCAAGTCTTTTCTTCCTCTTCCTCTCTCCAGTTGCCCTTCCCCAGCCCCCCCCCCCCCCCCCCTCCTCCTCCTCGCTCAACCCCCTGTGCTCCTCCTCACCTTGCCGCCTTCGCCGCCTGCATGCATCTATCCAGCTTGAGCATGTCTGTGCGAGGACCGAAGAGAACACTCAAGCTGCCGGCATGTCATTTCAACTTCAACTCGAGCTGTCGTCACCTCCTGCCGACAACCCTCCCCTCTTCGAGACCTCCAAACAGCGCGCTGAACTTTAAACTCATCTACCATACGCTCAGCAAGTTCAAGGGAGTAGAGTAGAGTAGAGGAACTACGGAATAGGTGAGCGAGAGGACTGGAGAAGGGAGAAGCTGGTGGGAGAAGGAGGAGCAGAGCAGCAGGAGGAGACGAAAGAGAGTAGAAAGAAGAAGGAGGACATGGAAGTAGAGGGAGGAAGTTGACCGATGCGATGCTGTAGGGCTTCTCTGACGACACAACAATCTTGGATCTGCCGTGAGAAGTCACACGAGGAGGATGGAACAGAAAGTGCGAGGAGGAGGCACCGGCCATCCTCGGCATCGGCGATCTTCTTGGGCACCCAGTCTCCATGCTCGATGAGAGCGATGCACTTCTTCTTGTCTGAGTTCGGAACGTCCTCTTGCCGGAACCCGACAGAAACAATCCTTTCCTCCCCTTCCTTGTTGTAGAGGACAAGTGCTATATGCCTGCTGTCACTGCTGCTTCCTTGGATAGCTTTCGCGAGCTCGACCGTGTTGGTCATGGGGCCTTGAAACATCCTCAAGTTTCTGCCGACGATCTCCTGCTCGTTGAAGCCGAACATCTCGATGACTGTCGGGCACGCGTCGAGAATCTTGAAAGGGGGCTCCAGCTCCACGTCCACCCACACGCCTTGCCCTATGAACTTGTTGTAGTTGAGCCTGGCGGCCGGTAGCTTGTCTTGCGAGGATGCAGCTCTGCTCCCAAGTCACCATCAGAGGACGAAGGATCAAGAGAGGGAGTAGGAGGGGCAACCAGACAGGCGAGATCCTACCCGACGTTGTAGAGGTTGCTTGATGCCTTAGAGACGAACTCTTGGAATGTCCTGGGGTCTTTAAGCCTCGTCAGTCATCATCCTCATCATCCTCCTCCTCCTCATCAGCTGGTGACTCACCGAGCAGCTTCCCAGCAGCTTGCGCATCGTCGGTATCATCTTCTTCTAACCCGCTGAAGTCGATCCCGTACTCCATTAAGCTTGTGCCCTCTGCAGGGGTTCAACCAGAAAAGACTTTGATGCCTCTAGTCGCTCCTGGCCCTCTTCTCCCTAAGCCTTCCTCCCCCCAACCACTCTGTCCGCTTTGTTACTTCCCCCCTCCTGCCTCCTGCCCCCAACGCCGTTTATGTCGTCTGCACTTGTCTTAACGTCACTTGAGTGGTGTATGTTGTCTCCTTATGATTTTCTCTGTGTTTTATCCCCTGCTCTTTCTCTCCTCTCTGTCCGCGTCTCTCCTTCCCGCTCCTCCTCTTACTGTAGCGCCTCCTCCACCATGGCCGCTCTGCTCCAACTCAATTTGGCGACAAATTCCTTAAAGTTTTGGAAGTTTCATAGTAATTTCAATATTTATGATCAATTTTGATTTTCAACCAACCAATTTGTGGTCAACTACAATTGTACCCACCCATCGACCCCCATCAAGATACTCCACCCCACCTCCGAGTGAAAGACAATGAAGGGGTCCACAAACTTCATCTCCATGACCTACCCCTGCTATTAACCATTTTTTACATACAATTCAACCCAAATTGCGGCTATCCACCCACCCCTTCAACATCTCTACTACCCCTCTACCCCTGCCTCTTCACCCACCCCTCTGTGATTTATCTTTATGCCCAAACCTCCGGGGGAATTCCGCTGGCTCACGAATGCTTCCCCCTGTTTCACCACCCCCTGTTTCCCCCTCACCACCCCCTCTTGCATCACACACCACCCCATGTGAATATAGGGTCCTCTTGTTGTTTGTCCTAGCATGGCGGGCGGATGGGAGGCGGGGAGCGGGCATGTGGTCTGGTGCGAGGGCGTCACGCATCTCCACCGCTTCTCTCCTCTCATCGCCGAAATGTTCAACACAATCTCCAACATAGCGACGCTCATGGCTGCCGGATACGGGCTCACAAGGGCTCGGAGGAAGCGTCTCCCGCGTGCCTTTGGTTTCTCGGACCTCTGCTTGCTCTCAGTAGGGCTCGGTTCCATGGTGTTTCATGCAACCAGAAGCTTCTACGGTGAGATGATGGACGAGCTCCCCATGTCTGCCATGGCTTTCGGCTACATGTGGTGCCTCAAGGGCACGCACAAGTACACCTCGGGGAGAACCTGGAGCCTGGTGTTGGCAGTTTACAGCCTGGTGGTGGCAATAGCTTGGGGGTCGTACTTGTTTTATGGTTGGTATGACGTCTTTACAACAAGCTTCACTGCTCAGGTGATCGTTTCAGCTCTGCTATCACTCGACGCCATTCGGCTTGCAGGAAGTCGGGAGGACATGTATTTGTGGTGGACAAGTTTATCCATGATCATTGTCGGAAGAGTCTTCTGGGGGATCGAGCGACATCTCTACTTCACTGGACGATGTCCCACATCCAGTCTCGAGTTGAGCTTCTGGCTTCACCCTGCTTGTAACATTTTTTGCTTGCAGCACGGGATGCTGGCACTGACAGTGACTCTACAGGGCATGCTTTGTCTGGCTGGTCTCATGCTTTCTGGTTGCTGTCGATCACAAACATCGCACACCAGGCGAGAAAGAAGCATGCGTAGTCCATCTCCTCGAGTGAAGGCATGCGTAGTCTATCTCCTCGAGTCAAGGCATGCGTAGTCTATCTCTTCGAGTGAAGGCATGCGTAGTCTATCTCCTCGAGTCAAGGCATGCGTAGTCTATCTCCTCGAGTCAAGGCATGCGTAGTCTATCTCCTCGAGTGAAGGCATGCGTAGTCTATCTCTTCGAGTGAAGGCATGCGTAGTCTATCTCCTCGAGTGAAGGCATGCGTAGTCTATCTCCTCGAGTGAAGGCATGCGTAGTCTATCTCCTCGAGTCAAGGCATGCGTAGTCCATCTCCTCGAGTGAAGGCATGCGTAGTCTATCTCCTCGAGTGAAGGCATGCGTAGTCCATCTCCTCGAGTGAAGGCATGCGTAGTCTATCTCCTCGAGTGAAGGCATGCGTAGTCTATCTCCTCGAGTCAAGGCATGCGTAGTCCATCTCCTCGAGTGAAGGCATGCGTAGTCCATCTCCTCGAGTGAAGGCATGCGTAGTCTATCTCTTCGAGTCAAGGCATGCGTAGTCCATCTCCTCGAGTGAAGGCATGCGTAGTCTATCTCTTCGAGTGAAGGCATGCGTAGTCCATCTCCTCGAGTGAAGGCATGCGTAGTCCATCTCCTCGAGTGAAGGCATGCGTAGTCTATCTCCTCGAGTGAAGGCATGCGTAGTCCATCTCCTCGAGTCAAGGCATGCGTAGTCTATCTCTTCGAGTGAAGGCATGCGTAGTCTATCTCTTCGAGTGAAGGCATGCGTAGTCTATCTCCTCGAGTGAAGGCATGCGTAGTCCATCTCCTCGAGTGAAGGCACTTAGCGTTGTCGCTCTCAACTGACCCCTCTGGTTTCCAATAGTTTTCTGTGGGGGTATCCTTGCACATATGTGAATAGCAAATGGCAGTTGGGGGCTGGGGTGGGTCAGATGGCTGGGAGCAGATTCAAATTGGTTGGGACCTGTTTAAGGGGGTAGGGTACTTCCTGGTAGCAAATAATTGTACCAACAGTACCAATTTTATAGTACATATTCGAGTACTGTTAGGAAAACTTGTACCAATATAGTTTATGCGGTACCTCCCCTGTTCAAACTATGATGCTTTGGACCCACCTGTTTCCCAGTGAAAGTGCCTTCTCCGATGGGGTCAAGTTTTGGACCCTACCCTGCCTCCGACCAACATAGACCACCCTTGTAGATCAGAGGGAGCTCTCAAGCCTTGCCCCTTCCCTTCCCTGGTTGCATATCCAAGGTTAGCAAGTGAATGTTACGCAGACGTGACTCATCTGCAGCAGAAGAGCTCAGACGAGGACAAGCAGAGGCATTCCCTGCAGAATCTGGTGTGAGCGCAGCAGTCTGAAAACATCTCTGTGATTGCAAACACATGTAAAGAGGGTTGATCATCATAGATTTTAGCAGCTTGAATAAGGAGTACTCCGCACGGACCGTCCGCTAGTGGCGCTGTACGATGGATGACATTGACTCTCATGAGCAATTAGTAGGAAGTCATGAAGCATGTCACGGAGACAGCATGATCTATACTTGTTTCATAGGAATCTGCTGCAAAGAGTCGGGCTTGAGGGCGGTCTGAGCAATATGCAAGAGTATTGCCAAGGCATGTAAAGAGTTTCAAGGAATACCAGTGCATTCATCAAATGGCAGTGATGAGGTACCACATGAAGGCATGACTTGCAAATTGATTGCATGTCGTGTTCCATTTGATGACTTACAATCAAGACGCTTTTGAGCGACAAAACGATGCCCCTTATAGCATTGTAAATCATATTTCATTTCCTTCACCTCGAGTCGAAGCAAGAAATTTTCAAGGTGCTGATATCTTTGTTTTGACTAGACTGACATGGTATCAGGAGCAGTTAATTGATGTTGGATCCGATTGAATCATGCAGACGACAATGGACATACCCTTTTGAATAAATCTTTCTTCTCATACCAGAGCTTTCTTGCCTCTTTCTTTGTAACCTAACATGTACAAAGCATTGGCATTTTCTTACACAAAGTAAACTGAGCCTGACCAGCTTCTCTTATTCGCTGCATTCTCGCCCTTCCATCATCCTGTTCTTTTCCTCGCTTGACACCCTTGGGCCAATGCGAGTTGCATGCTGCGATATCATCAATTGTTTCGGAACCAAGCGATAAGTGGAACAAAGCGCTCAGGTGCTATGCAGGCTGCAATACATCGCCGGCATTCCAACCATATGGATAAGTTTGCCAACTTTGCGCTGCTCATATTACTTGCAGCGAAAGTCAACCATTCCAGATGATAAGGACAATGTATGAGACTTGCGCAGAAGAATGTGCAAACACTTCCACACGACGGTGAGTGTGCACGATTCCACATACACAAGAATGCTGCGCAGAAGTATCTACCAATTTCTTGTCTAACCACTCTTTTGATGAATGAGCATCGACTTCTCTAACATGTACATCAGGTCATGCAGGCTCATGGAGAAATGATGATGTTGTTAGCAACAACTTGGCTTTGTTTTATTGAAGTACGTTGAAAACATCACCTAGGCCGCTACATATTCCCATGTCCGCTTTGCAACAGTTCTAAACCACGTATCACCATAAAGTTGTACATCATTCGACTAGTCCGATAACATCTTCATGTAGAGTCTCAGTTTCAAGCACAACGCGGTTTGGAGCGATACTGTGACTTGTTTGCCTGGTATGATTACATGTGACATGCTCTCTTACACAATTGAAGAGTATTGTGGAAAATTCAGTCAAGCGGTGCACAGTTCAGCCTTTCTTTCTTACTATTCATCAAACATAGTGTATCAAACAGATGTCATCGTGTGGATCGACGCAAAATAAAGATGAACTCGAAGTTCTGTCTGAAAAATGACCCTTTGCAAGTACTGATGGATCGAGAGCAAGTTCTTGATGCTATATCATTGAGAAGTAAAATGACAGTCATTTGCCAGTGCTATACGACTCGTATCTATCAGCTTGAAATATGCACACCAGAGTTTCATTCCATGAATCATCTTTCCTCCCGCATTCAAACTGAGAAACTCAGTGCTTGTCAACTCATGGGCATGGTTTCAGAGTTTGAATTTCCAGCAAGTTGAGGAAGGACAAGGCAGACAGAAGCGTCAAAGAAAGTTGAGGGTCATCAGGGAAGGTCTGATGAGAGTCTGAGACTCATGGACAGGGAAGGATAGGGATGCGCAAGTGTGGAGGGCAGGGAGATGGGGAGGGAGACACCCTCTGCTAAATGTATTTTAAAAGGTACCCATTACAGTACCAGACCAAGACCTGTACCCCCCACCCCCCTGTCGCGTCCGTTGGGTTCGAATCATTTGAAATACTACCACGCCTACCCATCAGGTTCTGGTACAAATCATTACTCCACTATACAAGGGCCTAAGTGATCCTATGCAAAGGCAATAGGAACAACTGTTTACTTATCTAAGCTCTCAATTACCCCCGGTTGCCGTTGAACTTGCAGCGCTGGAAATGGATTTTCAAACCTTCCAATCCTTGGATTTTTTACTCACACACAATTTTGTACTGGAAAACGCCTGGATCTGGTACAAATCCCAATTGTCAGCAAGTTCCTTGACCCGACAACGCTAGTAGTCACGAATGATGCGTAGTCTATCCTTTGCGTCTGTCAACGGGGGCCAAACCAGACTGGCGGGCCTGTGGCAGAGTGTCACCGTACAGAGCTGATCCATCACTCCCAGCATTCAAGTTCAAAAGTTCACCGTGAGTTGTCACTTCTACATCCGATCCGAGTCGCCGGAGTGAATCACGCGGCCCGGCGAAGTTGGCCGCAGGAGGCTGCCCGGCCCCGCCGGCAGACGGTACGGTCACCGGGTCGGAGCCGCTCGGACCGGCGTCCGAGACCGTCCGATCCGATCCCGGAGTCCGGGCCGATCACGGCAGGGGATCACTCAGTGAACGGTTTACTGCCGTTGCCGGCCCCGCCGCCGGGCCGGGGCCCGCCGGACGGTGAGTCTATAGAGAGCACTGCATTATGGGGTAGGGGTATTTTCTCTGTATCATATGGTAGGGGTTCATCATTAGAAATTTTAAATAATTGGATGGGTGGGGGTTATCGGCCGGTGGTGGTGTGGGTAGGGTGTGGGATGACCGGCATCAAGGTTGGTGATGCGGGAGAGGAAGAGGAGGGAGGGGGGGAGGGGGAGGGAGGAGGAGGCATGGCAACTTGGGCCCAGGAGTGTGAAGCTGATCGATCCGTGAGAGTCAGGCAGGATGACAGGAGGTTCTGACTCCAGTCAACAAGCAGGCAGTGAGCTCGGTGCCATGAAGAGAAGAAGCGCCCTACGCGACCCCAAGGTTGCAAAGCTCTACCAGACATTGCAATGACTGTGCGTTCTAGGTAGACTCCGCAACCCGAGTAGCCATGCTTCTTTCCCGTGGCAAAGCAGAACAAACACCCAGCATGCACACGGAGGCAGGAACCTTGACAGCATGGCGGCGAGGACATGCCACCCAGTCATACGGCCTGCATGTGGAGAACAAGGAAAGGTGGCGTGAGCCTGAGTCAAGGATACGGTCGTTTCACTGGATATCGAGCGGGGTACTTGATGTTGTCACCAGCACCGTGCCGGTTAACGTCCTGAATGGCAGGTTCACACAGAGGATGAAGAGTTTGACACGGTTCTGCTGCTGCTGGAGAAGAGACTAATAAGTCTTTGATCTTCGCTGCTTACGAGCCTTTTTGACGTCTTGCTCAGAACAAGCGCGAGCCGATCACATGCCGCGTGTTTACGACATGCTTAGAAGCTTGCGATCTTGCAACTATGAATATCAGCCCTCCCTTGGTGCTTGTGCACATGCAGAGGAGGCAAGACATTGCTCATGTCTCTTTGTCTTTGTTCTCACTCGTGCTCAGGACCACGCGAACTGCCATGGCTCACCCTCCTCCCTTCCTAAGGTACCTGGAAGTGTTACTCCCTCCGCTCTCCTGCTTGCTCCTCTCACAGCCTCGCAGGAGTTTGTCTGTCCCATATCGCATGACGTCATGCAGGACCCGGTGGATGCTTTTCTTGCCAATCGCCTGCTCTGACATGTCCAGGTCGTCGCGCTTGACGGACACACATACGAGCGCGAGGCGATCGAGGAGGAAGAGGCGATGTTGCATGAATGTGCGATACTGACATGTTCCATACAGTGGCTCAAGCGATCTTGTCGCTCACCGATGACAGGACAGGTCGGCTGCGCTTGTCTCTTCTTGTACTCATGTCAAGTGCAGATGATGATGGGCGACGAAGTCATCCCCAACTTCACTCTACGATCCATGATCCACAACTTCATCTCGATTGATCGCCGAGTCTCGTAGTACAAGTGAAGACTATGAGTCGATTTGCCACAGCCCCTGTCAAACCAGTCAACATGTACCTATGGGCAAATGCTTCACACCTCTTCGCGCTCAGCTCGAGCGTCTGGTGGCAGAGCAAAGCCTGATCGCAAGTCATGGTCAGAAGGAGGGACTAAAATCACGTTGCTGGGAGATACCAAACATTTTCTCCACCTTAGTCTTTGGTTCGCCTGATTATCTTCGTCAAGACCGCAGCAATAGTCCTCGCCCTCGCCCTCGCCCTCTGTCTCTCGCTCCCTCGCTCCTCCTCCTCCTCCTCCTCCTCCTCCTCCTCGTCATTGCCTCTTCCTCAAACGTTCAAGGCTCACCTGAGTACATCACAACCTCCCCAGTGCCACCGAAGCCATCGGCACCGCCCAAACCCAACGTGCCACCTGCATGAGTTGGTAAGGGAGCGAGTGAATTACAGCATACACATAGGAGTTGCACGGATGGATGGAT